TAGAATTAACCCTGAATAAAACCTGAATAAACCCAGAATAAAATCCCAAATAACCCCCCCCCCATCCCGAGGGACGCTGTTGTTTGATTAAAGGTGGAGGACTTGTGATTCTCTGGTCACTGGGTTGCGTCTGTGACCATAAAGCCCCTTCAGGCGGCGTCCTGAGAGTCCGGGATCGGGACCGCTCACTCACTTCCTTTAAGCTCATTAGCTGCTCGTCGACAGCAGAGCTTACAGCCGCTAACACAGGCCTCGGTTTGTGCTCACTCATGATCACAAGACTCTAGTGGTTGAAAGTCATCGGGGAAATACTCCCAGAGATCAGTGGTTCCCAACCTGAGGGGCCGGGACCTTCGTGAGGCCTTCTTGATTATAAGTGTAAGAAAACTTTAAAAAACATACACAGTAGGTCTATATGGTAGCAACTGGTTCACTTCTGTGAGCACATTTAGAAAGAAAACACTGTTTTAAAAAAAGTTTATTAAGTCTCAATGATTCAAGAAAACAGAAAATTGTATAAAAGGTTCATTAAACAGGAAATAATCTGCTCCAAACTCATCCTCGTTTTACACAAACTTGTTCTTCTACAGACTTCACTGTAAGAAAATATTTTATATATATATTTTAATATTCAGCCTTATATTTGGGCGTGTTTTAACACTGCTGTAGAAACGTGGCGGCCTCCCTGCATCAGTTGCAGCTCTGATTAGACATTAATAAGATGTTGCTCTGGGAAACTGTGACATCGACAGATGAATTGGTAATGAAAACATTATTAGTTGCAGGCGTCAAAAGTCAAATGTCACATTTGAATGCAAGTCGTCCACAAACAGCTGTTTCCTGTCTGTCATTTTAAACGTGGAGATAAAAGTCTTCCTCGTTTTGAAATGTCCTCATTCTTCTGTCACGCTGGCCGACATATCGACGGCATCTGAGCCCGTTTCAGGAGTCGGGCAGATTCTGATCTTTCCCCCGCCTCTGAAGACCTTTTTAAAATGCCTCCTGTGAGTAACGCTGAAGGTCACGTTCACGTCGGATACTGTTTGTTTTCATCCGCAGAGGTTGTGACCGGGAGATTACGGCTGGTTCATGCTTAATGACATCGCTGTCAAACGAGGGTTTTTCGAACACGAGCAGCGTTTGTCTCGACTTCCTGGGTATTTGTGTCCCCTCTCAGGTTGTAATTGTCTACCAGAGCTTCCTCATTCTTGTTTTTGTGGCATTGTAAAGTTCAGTTCTGCATGATCAGGCTGCAGACTCATTTTCAGTGTACTTCCTTTAAAGTCAGATTTCAAACATCTCAAAGAATCTTCCTTTAGCGTTCCTCGTGTCAGCTGGACTTTGTTATTCTAATATATTACACACATGATGAGATTTGTGGATAATAATAGTAACAATAATAATAATAATAATAACAATAATAATAATAATAATAAAAAAATAAAATTAAAA